CGGTTAAGTTATATTCGGAAAGAATAAACCAGTTTTATTAAGTAAAGGCTTGTGTCGCTTAAGTTTCGTCGGAACGAAGTTACGGAAAATTAATTAATAAACGGAGACGTAACAGTATGTTATCACTTTTAATTATTCATGTATAATTTTATTACATTATCCGTGTTAATTGTTCATGTATAATTATAGTATGTTATCACTGTTAATTATTCATGTATAATTTTATTACATTATCCGTGTTAGTTTTTCATGTATACTTGTACTACGTTATTCATATTAATTGTTCATGTATACTTATACTACGTTATCCATATTAATTGTTCATGTATAATACGTTTTCCAAATTTGTTGTTCAAATATAAGTTGTGTGTTTAAAAAGTATTCACATTCTTATACAAACCTAAGTTAAAGCCTAATCACTTTTTAGACATTAATCTTCTGTACATTCAGTCCGGTCGCAGTGAATCTTCTAGATTTTATATTTGATAACACGGCTGCACTTTTTACACCTTTTCTTTATCACTAGTCATCTTTTTAATATCTAGCCTCCTGGGAACAACCTTTAACGTTCTAGATACTACTAGTAGTAATGCTTTCTGTTAGTGGGACGTTTTAAAATAAGAAATGGATTTACTTATAATAAATAAAGATGTACAACAGTACCAATTTCCTGTCTTTTGAGACCAGAGCTTTAAGCACCTATGGCCTGTCGCGACTCTCAGGATTGATGTCGTCTGCCCCCACCTCCGCCCGTCTAGTAATTTTATTTAATTTTCAAAACATGCTCAAGCAATTTTTTTTTAGAATGTTGGCGTATTTACAGTAGCCTACCTCATGTGCGACACGCGATGGTTTGTAGGTGCTGTGTATTTGTTTCAGTGCTGGATCTATAATTATATTTCATACTCTTTGTTTGTTTTTTAATTGAAATGTCTACAATTTGATGAACATCAAGCAGTACCATATATAGATATATCAAGCTAAACAAGATATACTGTATTAGCATCTAATATATATAAAAGACATTTCGAAGTTCTTGAAAAGTTTTAAAAACATCTAAGTTAGAGGTTAGTTACCATAATTCGTATCTTTTTATTAAATTTTCGTGAAGTTTTCAGTTTTATTATTACTTTCTTGGATGAACAATCTTTTTCTTTTTTCTCCCAAACGTATTGCCATTAGTCTTAACTAATGATAGCACTTGAAATTTATTTTTAGGTTTTAACCTTATCAGAGAATTTTTATCATAAATCTTAGGCCTATTGGTTTTGGCTGCTTGTTTAAACTGTAACTTTTAGGTTATATGACGTAATTACAAAAATACATTCGGGTGTGTATGTGAAATATAGATGGTTTCATGATACAGTCATAAAATAAAAAAATTAAATAATAGTTTCATATGTTTATTATAAATTTACATAAAGGTCATGAACTTTGGCGTGATACTATTTTTTCCGCCGATGAAAATCTAATATATATATATATATATAAATGTCAGTTGTTATTTTCTGTGTGCGTAGCATTAATATTATGAGTCATTATTAATTCATGTTTGCACCATTCTTATTGATTTTTTGACAGTATACTTAAAAAATTTTTAATTTTCTCAATGTATAATTGTTTTTCTTTTATGATGAAATGGTAAGTTTGGAGAATAAAGCTTGGAGAGGGCTAGTCTGTATAATCTAAAGGTACTCTCTCTCTGTTCGTAACACTCCTCTCTCTGTTGGTAACGTTCAAAAAGGCTCGGTGCGAAAGTCTCGCGTTCAAATCTCAGTAGAGTAGGGATTTTTTATAACTTTTTTCCAATTATTAACTCACTATGTTTAGAGCAATATCTTGAAAAAACAACAACACAATAACATATTACATTTGGGATTTGAATTATTTGTTAATGTAGACACCTTTCGCTCAAATCTCAGTCGAGTTGGGATTTCAAACAACCATGCTTTTCTCATGGTCAATGAGATGTAGGGTGTTCAAAATCTTTATTTGTTGGTAGATGGGAAACAAACTGCAAATGTTATTTACGAAGAAGCTTTGATATATTTTTAAAACTTTGAAATAAAGTTTATGTCCAAGTTATTACTTTGAAATATATGATTGCTGTTAAACTTACGTTGTTTTGATTAAGTTTGAACATCTCCCGTCAAATTCGATGACGAGGAACCCACTTTAAGACTAATAATGGCTGGAGACGGCTTGAATGGGTAATGAAGAAATACTTTAATATAAGTTTAACATAACAGCAAATGTACAACGTTTCGACAAGGTTTTGTCATCATCAGGTCATCATCATCATCATCTCCCGTCAGTTGACAAAAATTTCAATTTGTTACATAATAAGTACAAGTGTCAGAAACAATTTAAATTTAATTTCAACCAAATAGCGTTACAATACATTATTATTGATGTTTATAATTTATAAGTTATATATCTTCGTGCATTTGCCTTTCACCATAAACTTCATTGCCTTTTCCATCACAACTAATAAATCGCAGTTTGTGACATGGAGCATTATCATATTGGAAGGTGCAAGGGCCGATACCATAAAATTGCCACAATGTAGGACACATAGAAATGTTCAGAACATCAATATAGGACTCAGCATTCAGGGATTCATGCACTGCGACCAGTGGACCTAGTCCATACACGAGAAGCACCCCCAGACCATGATACTGCCACCTCCAAACTTCACTATTGGGACAACACACTCAGGTAATAAGCGTTCTCCAAGCATCCCCCATACCCAAATACGTCCATAAGACTGGAAGAATGTGTAGCATGACTCGTCGCTCCACAGGACCGAATTCCATTGATCCACGGTCCAGGTTCGGTGTGCCTTGCCCCATACCAATCGACGGTGTGCATTTGTTTTAGTTATCAACGGCTTGTGGGCTGCAGCTCTTCCGTGAAAATTCATGACATGCAGCTCTTGACGTGTCGTAGAAACACTTATAGGATTACCTGTGGCTGCTCTCATCTCCAAACACAGATTCTCTAGAGTCTGACGATGAGATGAGGTAACAAGCCTTCTGAAGGCGTGTCGGCTCCTGCCAATCAGTATTTTACGTCTACCTTGGTCGTTTCTTGGGCTCATTGTCACCTGTGGACTTCCATTTCTTCAGCATGTTGCCATTGTTGACATCCGACTATCCTTCCCCTCTGAAACCTCTGTTAGCCCTTTCCGTGTACTCATCGTTCGGCGTACAAGTTCGAAATGACTTCCGAGCGAACCGCTGGTCACCTTTATAGACCAAAGTATTTGCATATTTCGTCGTCACACCCATTTTCCTGCAATCACAGGAATGTCCCATGACTTTGGTAGGATAGTGTATATTCATGCATCTATATAACTTGAAAAATTCATATGGCTATATATATATATATACACACACACACATACGG